CTCCCTATGGCGCAAGTCCGCGACGCCGACGACCACGATCACGACCACGACCACGACCACGACCAACGACGTCCTCGACGCTTGTCACGGCATCGGCGGCGACGACGACATCGATAATGACGGCATCGGCGACGCCGTCGTCGACGTCAACGCAGAGCACGATGATTGCCACGGCATCGACGACGACGTCGACGACGACGACGACAAGGCTGTTGACGACGAAGAAGGCGGTGGTTTCTCTACAGCAGTGACCACGGCATCGACCACGACGGTGCCGACGACACCACGGCGACGATGGCGATGCGATGGTTCTTGCCGTGCTGGCCCGCCCGAAGGGGGCCTCCCGCACGTCGTGGGGGCGCCAGACGGGGGGTGTCCACGGGTGTGGCCCGCGGGCGCGCGGAGCTACCCCGTACGTCGCGCGTCGCGTCCTGAGCCGGAGAGGGGATCCTCGCAGGCGATTTCTCGGCCAGGGTTGGGGCGAAGGCTTGTTAGAAGCACCCCTGTTCCTTAGAAGGTGCGGGCCTTATCTATGGATGTAGGGCCTTGCTGTCTAAAAAACAACCTCCTCTTACCTGTGCGCGCCGCCAAATTTCTCTCCCCCAACATCCGACTCTCCCACGGAAAAACAAACAGCACACAACAAACCCAGCGCACCCAGCACACCTGGCGCACCCTGCACACCAGACACACCCAGCGCACCAAGCGCACCCCGCGCACCTTGCGTACCCGGCACACCCAGCGCACCCGGTGGTCCCAGTACACCCGGCACACCCGGTGCACCCGGCACACCCGGTGCACCTGGCACACCCGGCCTAACCAGCCCACCCGGCGCACCCGGGACACTTGGCGCACCTGGCGCAGCCCGGCCGCCAGAGGTACATACATAATAATTGAAGTATTAGCTCTTTTCAGGTGACTTCGAACATTCTATCTGATATCCAATTATTATCTTCTGGTGATATGCTTAAAACGCAACGCACTAAAGATAGGAAATCGACATCCTAAATATTAGTAGTCTGGATTAGTGTGTTGTACACATGCGTAAGTTGCCACACAGAGTCCGATAGTTTGGCGAGCTCAGGCCACGAAGTTCTGCGACATAAGCGTATTCCACCAAGGCAGGTGGCATCTGTGATTCGCCGTAGGCGTCTTAGATTCGAATTGCAACGGCTGGGGATGCGTTTTCAAAAAATTCAGGGGTCGTCTGTGATTCGCCGTAGGCGTCGTTAATACGAATTATGACGGCTGGTGGAACACGTAATCCAATAATTTGGCCGAGCCTTGGCCACGAAGTTCGGCCACGTAGGCGTGTTCCAAAAAGGCGGGGGGCGTTTGTGATTCGCCGTAGGTCTCTTGGATACGAATTGCGACGGCTGGGGAAACGCGTAATCCGATAATTTGGCCGAGCCCTGGCCACGAGGTTCGGCCACGTAGGCGTCTTCAGAAAAGGAAGGGGACGTCTGTGATTCGCCGTAGGCGTCTTGGATACGACTTGCGACGGCTGGGGGAACACGTAAACCGATAACTTGGCCGAGCCCTGGCCACGGCGTTCGGCCACGTGGGCGTTTCCAAACAGGCAGGGGGCGGCGCTGATTCGCCGTGGGCGTCTTGGCACCAGCGGGCACTGCCAGCACTTGCATGCCTCCTCAGCTGCAGGCGACCACACAGATGGGGCACGAGGAGATCCGATCGGGGAGGGGATGTTCGGGTCGGGGCACGGTGCCTGGAAGGCGCCATGCACTTGAGATTTGTGTCTTTTTTCCAGGCTCTCGGCCCCTGAGAGTGCATCGCACGTCTAGCGTGTCATCGGGCTGCCCTCGGGCACAAGAGGCATGCGCACAGCTAGTGGACGTATATCAGATTCATTCCGTGTCCTCCTGATGGTTTTTCTTCTTCCTCATTCTAATGCTTCGCCCTCCTCATCCTCTGGGGTCCTGCTCATCCTTCTCGAACTCCACCTCCTTGAACTTCTCCTCTTCTCAGTCTCCTCCTCCTCATACTTCCCTCCCCCTCCTGTCCTCATATTCCTCGTCCTCCTCGTCGGACCTCCAACCCTCTTCCCTCCTACTCCTCCGCTTTCCCCTCCACCTCCTCCAACTTCTCCTCGAGGCGTCCTGCGCAGCCGAGCGCAAACGAGGCGCGCCTCGCGTGTTTTCCACACTGGCGCAAAATAAGCTGGACAACTAGGTAACCAGCTGTGGCACGACATCGCACAAAGGCCAACTCCTGTACTGACGAATCACGTCGCTATTAACCTTGTTGCAATGGCAAAGTTTAGCACGACTTGCTGCATCTCGATGCTATCTTCGCCTGAATATTACCATTGGCATCGGGGGTTACCTCCTACATCTACTAAGTCCTCGAGTGCGTGCAGAAACAGGTGGAGCTTGGGCTACACTTTCCTAATCAAGGTCGGCGGGCCATGCGAAAGTGCTTCCGATGAAAACTCTGCAGACATACACATGTCTTGGGACCCTAACCTACGACCCCGAGCCTGCGACTCACCTCCAGGAATCCACTGTCCCATCGTGCGGTACAGCTCAGCAAATTTCGACGCACATTGGAAGCGCATGCGTGCGTGGATAGCATCGAAGGGGAACAGTTTCTCGAACAGGAAGTGCGTGACCTCTACCATCGTTCTTGCTTTATCCGCCTCCACATTTAATGTATGTGCATTCTGCCCCTCTGCTTTGACCATGCCCAGCGTCAGCTGGTTTATAGGCGTCTCCAGACCACGTTCTGTGGACCCCATCATGATCATGTGAGGAAGGATTGCCGATTCTTTGGCGATTCCCCATTCGACGACGTGCCACCTAGATACTTCCAGAGCTCCCAGTAGACATTGCCCAGTAGGTACAACACCACACCTACGCCCCCCGAGTGCATTGTGTCCACTGAACGAACTCTGGCAACAAGCCTGGCCAGTCGAACATCCCAGAGAGGAAGCCGTTCTTGTTGAGCGTGCGCTCGATGAAGGCAGCGTGGGTGAGGCGTTCATTCCTTCACGAGGTTTGCGCGTCTGCGCGGCGGAAGTCACGAGTTGTCTTATCGGCACTGCATAGCCAGCATACGTTCTTGTGCTCACCCTCCCCCCGCCAACCTGTGAGGTTGAACGCCTGCTTCATCCACGCCCAACCTCCCCTGACTTGGACAGCTGCCGCACGCGCAGTCAATGCGTGCCCTGCTCTGAGGCTACGATCTCTGTCGCCCACGAACGGGGAGGCCGAGAACGGGATCCCGTCGTGGCGCTCTTTCGGAAAAATGCCAGAGATGAAGGTCTACAGCACCCATGCCATCACTGACCACACTCCTTCAGATGTACATTGGTCGTGGCACCCGCAGCCGCACGCGCGCCTCCCAGAGCACACCAAAGAGGAGCAGCGCGGGCTGCCGCAATCAAAACTTTAGAATCAGATAGTTGGGGAGCACATTATCAGATACTGCAATATGGAATCTGCATTTTACGGTGTAACATATATATATATATATAGTAGGGCACGTATTAAGAGGTATTGCACGCTACCACTTGCATGCTACACTATACAGTTTGCATGTGTTCTGCATTGTGGTGGCTGATGCAAGGTTTGGCAGACGTGTTAAGCTACCGTTCACATTAGACATTGTATAGTACATTATGTAAAGTGTAAGGTGTTATGTAATGTGTTGGGGGTGAGTTGGTTTGCAATCGCGCACTGCTGCCGCACTACCTATGTTACGCCTAGAAGTGTGCATGGGACTGGATGTATATAACTAGCTTATTGGTACTGACATGCTACAGTGCTTAAACTATAAGGTAGTTGTTTTATTTCTTTCCCTGTCACCTACCAGGGAACGCCACGAGCCAGAGGCGCTTGGTGTTCACCCCTTGGAGGATGTTGTACACCAGCAAATCTATGGTGTCGCGATGCGCGTAGGGCGCTGCATCGCCCCAGATTCCCATGCACAAGTACTTGTCCCTCAGCGCGTCCACTCCTACACGCGCCCCCCATGACTCCAAGGTGCGTCTGAAGTTCTCCTGGTGAGGCTGGAACTCGCTCCAACTACTATGGTGTCCTGGGGAAACCATATGACGAAGTATTTCGTGTGGTAGTAAAAAAGATGCAAGTGCCTTCGTTGGCTTGTTTGCCTTATGGTCCCATCCGTCCAAGTATGCTTGATATATGTTCGCCCCGATCCCGCCCCCAACCAAGTTCCCATTATACCCAACGCTTGTCAGCGCCTGGCCGCCATCACACCATATCTGGACACAGTGTATAATACACGCAATCGTGTAACGTCAGCGTTTCTTGAAAGGTCCCCGAAGCGGGATGCCTCCAGTAGGCGACGCTGCATCTCAACCTTGAGTTTCTGCCATTGCGCGTGCAAACACACATGATTGATATATGTTCGGCCGCTCACACTCGCGGTCAAATTCCCTCGTGATGCTCGTGTACGCTTTCTTCGACTTTGATCCAATGCACTTGCCCCAGCGCCTCAGACTTGTCGGGCACTCGGTCGGGCAGTCTGTCGTGCAACAGGCGGCGCCCTGGGCAACGTTCGTTGCATCCAACTTGCCATCGAAAAACATCTCGCCGAGGAAGACGCCAGTCTGCGTCTTCCCCTCGCATACAAATGGACGCAGTTGGGGCTTGATGCGTTGGGGAGGCCAAGTATTATTTCTCGAGGAACGAGAGGGCCCGACATACACCTACCGCTGCAAGCGCGGTGTCGGATCTGGTCCAAATTCACGGCGCATCGCGCCAAGCGTTGCGCGAAACGCAAAGTTGACCGGTCATGGATCCAGGAGTCCAGGCTGCCGTCCTCGCCTCGCCCCCGCTCCCAACTCACTCCTGCTTCTGCCACTCCTGCTGCTCCTCTTCGCCTGCCTCGTCCTCCCTCCTCTCCCCCTCTCCCGCCCATGTGACCATCGTTTTCGTCGGCGTCGCCATGGTAGCGTTCGTTGCCTTCGTCGCCGTCGTGTGCGTCGCGCTCGTCGTCGCGGGGCGCGCCACCGCCAGCGGCTGAAGAAGCACATAGAGAAGACCGGCAAGACGCGCGCTCAGCCGCGGGGGCAGGGCCGCGGCGAGTGGGCCGCCGATCGCCCGCATTCCGCCCGCCTGCCCCAGGGGAGGCCCGGGAGGGGGGAGGCGGGAGGCCCGGGAGGGGGAGGCGGAGGTCAGAGGAGGAGGAGGATGGGGAGGTGCCCATACTCCGCCGCCCACTCCTCGTCGCCACGGCCGGCTTCGCCCCGAAAGGGGTCAATGCCTGTGGTGTCCGTGCTCCGCGCTCTTGCTCCCGTCCCCCGCCCTCTCCGCCCTGTCGTCGCATCCGCGACTTCCTACTCCGCCCCACGTTTGATGACCCCTCTTTCCTTCCGTGGCTTTTACACCACCTCCGTTCCCCGTCTCCCCGAGGAGGAGGAAAAGAGGAGCAGGAAACGGGTGATGACAGAGATAGTGACAGTGATAGTGACAGTGATAGTGACAGTGATAGTGACAGTGATGGTGATGGTGATGGTGATGATGGTAATGGTGGTGATGGTGACGGTGATGGTGATGGTCATGATCATGGTCATGGTCATGGTCATGATGATGATGACGATGATGATGATGATGATGATGATGATGATGATGATGATGACGATGGTGGCGATGGTGGCGATGATATTGCTGCTGATGATGGTGATGGTGATGGTGATGGTGATGGTGATGGTGATGGTGATACTGGTGGGGATGGTGATGGAATTCATGAAGGTGTTGGCGGTGATGGTGATGATGGTGATGCGGTTGATGATCCTGATAATGGATGGTGATCTGCGGCAATCGTCAACAAGGTGCTTGTGCTGGTGCTGGTGCTGGCGGTGGTGATGGTGATGGTGATGGTGATGACGACGACGATGACGACGATGATGATGATGCTGATGATGGCGATAATGACGATTATGATGATGATGATGATGGAGACGATTATGATGATGATGATGATGATGGAGATGCTGATGATGATGACGATGGTGATGATGATGATGATGATGATGATGATGATGATGATTATGATCTTGATGATGATGATTATGCTGCTGTTGATAGCGGTGGTAATGTGATGGTGGTGGTGGTGATGCTGATGATGATAATGATGGTGCAGCTGATGATGATGATGCTGATGACAATGATAATGATGATGACTACTTATCATGATGATGCTGATGAGTGTGGTGATGATGCTGATGATGATGGTCATGATGATGATGCTGATGCTGATTGTGATGATGCTGATGATAACGATGATGCTGCTTATCATTATTTCGACGTGGGCGACGGTTGTGATGCTTGTGACGATGGTGATGACGATGGTGGTGGTGGTGATGATGATGATGATGATGATGCTTGTTGCCACGATGGTGGTGATGATGATGGTTGTGGTGGTGGTGATGGTTGCGACGATGATGCTGAGGAGGAGGAGGAGGAGGAGGAGGAGAAGTAGGGGGAGGAGGAGGAGGAGGAGGAGGAGGAGGAGCAGGGGGAGAAGGAGGAGGCTTCGTCTCCTCCCTGCTTTTCTTGGACTTTTCCATGGCGCTCCCCGTTGCCCTGCCTCTGCTTGCCCGCCCCCTCCCACCGTCGCCTCCTCCGCGTCCTCATCCGCCTTCTTTGCCTTCTCCTAGTCAACTGGAAGCAGCACCTGGAAAACAAACTACCATTTCTGGCGTGGCGGACCGTCCGCAGATCGCTCTACTGGGCCTGCGCGACAGCTGACACCGTTCGGTCGGACAGCTCGCCCTTCTACCCAACTGGAGAACGAAGAACAGTGAGCTGGGCCGGCTGCCGCCGAAACCAGCGAGCTTTCGACCCGGGCTTGGCACCGCTCGCGAGCGAGAAGAATATCCGGATCCGCGGCCTCGCGGGTCAGGTCCTCGGGCCGTGCCCCCACGGATACGGGTCGCTTTTTCGCGGTTGCCCAGCACGGGACGTGGCCGTGCGACCGCGTGTCCGCGGATCGCGCCCCGGAATCCAGACCGCGAGGGCGCGGATACGGACATGTTCGCCGGTCGGGAATTGCACCGATCGGCCTGCCCGTTGATCGCCAGAGCCTGCCGCCGCTGCCGCCTCTAGCGTGGACTCACCTCTCCTCGAACGGCACGAGGTTTCTTTCACCTGTCTTCTGAGGGAGGGAGAGGGAGGGAGGGAGGAGGAGGAGGAGCGAGGAGCGAGGAGCGAGGAGCGAGGAGCGAGGAGCGAGGAGCGAGGAGGGAGGAGGGAGTAGGGAGGAGAGGAGGGAGTCCGTGTACTCCTCGCCTCCAGATGAATGATATTTTGGTTGCTTGCCTAGTAGTCGTCGACTTTGCCGTCGCCTTTCGTCGTCGTCGTCCTCGTTGTCCTCGTCCACCCTTCTGCTGCTCGTGGGCCGCCGAGGATGCCGAACACGGTCATCATCGAGATGCAGAGGGACATGCTGGAGGTGGTGCGGACGAGGGCGGGGAGGAGGAGGAGGAGGAGGAGGAAGCGGAGGAGGAGGAGGAGGAGGAGGAGGAGGAGGCAGAAGAGGATGATGAGGAGGCCGTGGCAAGGCGAAGGGAGTAGGACTTCAGAGGGACGTGTTGGAAGTCGTGCCTCCTTTTCCTCGTCGTCGTCGTCCTTGCTCTTGTCCTTTCTCTCCACCTGCTTGCTCGTTTTCGTCCTCCTCGTCGTCCACTTCCTCCTACCCTGTCTCCTGCTTCTCTGGTGAAGGGGGCGGGCATACCCTCCCTCCTCGAGGCGGCGGGTGTTCCTCTCGGTTCCCATCCCCTACCTCTCATTACGCTCTCTTCCCTCGCCCTGCTTCCCCCGCACACCATCTTCCCTGCTTCTTCTTCTTCGTCCCCCTTGATTGCCTTCTGATTCCCGCCACTTCCCCCTCGTCTCTTCCCCCCCCCCCCCCCCCACGTGCGTGTGGTCCCCAGCTGTCGTCTCTGCCCCCCCTGCGCCACTCTCTCCCTACCTCCCCCTGGATCTCCTCCCTCTCCCGTCCTCTCCCTCCCTCCCTCCCGCCTCTGCGCTCTCGGCCTCCTCGCCCCTCGGCCTCTCTCCAAAAGGAGGAAACAACCACCCTGGCCCCCTATCACTGGCGTTTCCTGTTCGATTATGGGCGTTTACTGGACACCCCTGCCCTGTTCGATTCCTTCCCTGGGTACGGTACCAAGCTGCTTCCCTTGTCGGGGTGCTTCTTATGAGGGTGGCTTTTCTCTTTTCTATCTCCCCCTCCCCTCCGCGCCGTTCCCCTCCTCTCCATCCTCGATGAGGTCCACGGGTGGGAGCGGGATCACGGTTGCAACATGTTGTCCAACATCTCCAAGGACGCACCCCATGCGTTGGGCGCCCATGGGCCGGGCGCTCTCTCTCTCTCTCTCTCCTTCTCTCTTTCCCTCGCTCGCTCTCGTTTGCTCTCTCTCTCTCTCTCGCCCTCTCCCTCGCCATCTCTCTCTCGCTCGCTCTTTCCTTCTTTCTCTCTCGCTATCTCTCTCTCTCTCTCTCTCTTTTTCTGTCCCCCTGCCTCCGTTGGTACATCTTTATGTATTCGCTTGAGGCATGTGGGCAACGTAATTGCCATCCTCATCGCAATCCTCGTCTTCGTCACCATCCTCGTCATCTCTGGCATCGTGTAGCCCATCGCCGCCATGAATGTCCGCTGCCTCTCAGACCTGAGGGCTGCGGTTATGCAGCGGCCGCCTGGATAAAGAGAATGAGGACTAGGTGGAGGTGGGAGAGGACGTTGATGACAACTACTGATGATGATTGTGATGATGACGATGCTGCTGCTGATGATGATGATGGTGGTGGTGGTGGTGGATGTGATGATGAGGATGATGATGAGGCCTGGCGACGATGGTGGTGGTGCTGATGCTGATGCTGATGTTGGTGATGGTGGCGATAGTTAAGACGCCAATGACGCTGATGATGACGCTGATGATGATGCTGATGCGGCGGACAGTGCTGATGCTGGTAATGATGATGATGATGATGATGATGATGATGATGATGATGCTGCTGATGATGTCGATGATGATGCTGATGATGCTGCTGATGACGGTGCTGATGATGCTGATGATGAGGAGGAGGATGACGATGATGATGCTGATGATGATGCAGAGGATACTGATTATGATGCTGATGGTGCTGATGATGATGCTGATGGTGATGGTGATGATGATGCTGATGATGATGATGATGATGATGATGATGCTGATGACGGTGCTGATGATGCTGATGATGAGGAGGAGGATGACGATGATGATGCTGATGATGATGCAGATGATGCTGATTATGATGCTGATGGTGCTGATGATGATGCTGATGGTGATGGTGATGGTGATGATGATGATGATGATGATGATGATGATGATGATGATGATAATGCTGATGCTGACGATGCTGATGATGATGCTAAGGATGATGGTAAGGGTGATGCTGGTTGTGGTGATGATATGACGATGATGATTAGGTTGATGATGATGTTGGTGAGTAGGTGCTTATGATGATGCTGATTATGATGATGACGATGATGATGATGCTGATGATGATGATGACGATGCTGATGATGGTGATGACAACGACGATACCGATGATGGTGATGGTGCATATTGCAGTGTCGATGTTGATGGTGGTGGTGATGACCATGGTGATGGTGCTGATGATGATGATGATGATGATGATGATGATGATGATGATGATGATGATGATGATGATGATGATGAGGGGGAGGAGGAGAAACAGTGCACACCCAAGACGCACCAACAATGCTGCAAACCATCCCTCCAAATTCCCTCTTCATAGGTCCCTACAGTAATCTATGTTCACTGCTGGAAGTTCCACGTTGGAGGACGCCCGTCTGAGAATCGTCAACCGTGCCCAAATCCCACTCCTTGGATTGCTTCGTCGCGGAACAACAGTACCGTTGCGTCCTGACAATGCTGCATCGTGTCAGCAGACCAATCTTTGGGTCGCAGCACGACGAATCAACCTGACCATTGCGCCCTGACAATCCCACACCGTGCCGGAACACAATGCCGACGACGTCTACCATAAGAATATTTGACGTTGGTGTAAGTTTTTCAGACAGCTGTGTGCGGTGCTGAGGCGAGAGCCACCTGCAAACTTGTAAGTCGAGAGTGCGCGGCGTTGAGGAAAACGGCCTTCTCTGCGCCCGTGAAGCTGTTGCAAACTTCAAAACGAAAGTGCGCGGCGCCAAGGGGAGAGCCGCATTCTGAAGACAACACGCCCTCCAGTTTTTAAGACGAGTGTGCACAGCGCTCAGACGAAAGTCACATTTTGAAAACGAACCCTTCTCCATCCGTGAAGAATCTGCAAATTTTGAAGACGATAACACGAATGTGCGGGGCGAAAAGGCGACAGATGCATGTTGAAAAGGAACCGCCCTCCATCCGTGAAGCTGTTGCAAACTCTTACGACGAAAGTGCGCGGTGTTAAGGCGATCGCCACATTTTGAAAACGGCCTGCTCTGCGTCCGTGAAACTCTTGCAAACTTTAACGCGAAAGTGCGCGGCGCTAAGGCCAGAGCCACATTTTGACTGCCCGCCCTCCATCCTTGAAGTTGCTGCAAACATTTAAGTCGAATGCGCGCGGTGCTGAGGGGATGGCCACATTTTGAAAACGGCCTGCTCTGCGTTCGCGAAGTTGTTGCAAAGTTTCACACGAAAGTGTTGCGGCGCTGAGGGGAGAGCCGTATTAAGGCGAACGTGTGTCTCGCTAAGGCGAGAGCGTTTGAAAACGGCTCGCCCTCCATCCCTGAAGCTGTTGCACATGTCAAGCGGCAGAATCATAAATGGTGATGAGGTCTCAGGCGTAGCGCCTGGCCCGCCCTGCTGACACGTCTCTGGGTGCGACAGTGAGGAGTTTTTGATGAGGAAAAGGACTGGAGGAGGAGCAAGAGGAGGCGGCGGAGGAGGAGTAGGAGGAAGAGGGGGAGGAGGACTGGGGGGATTCGCCAGGAGTCGTGCACGCATCCCACCCCCGCATCGGAATCGTGGGGGCAGGATGCCCATGTGGGCGTGCAAGCCGCCCAGATATCAGCCCCCCTGCAGTAGGTTCGCAGTCGCGTCGACCAGCGGCGACCCCGCCGCCGGCCTTCAACCTTGAACGCCGCCGGCGACCCAGAATCGATCGATGTTGAAGGATCAGACGTTTCGAAAATGACCGATCGTTCAAGGTGGAACGATCCCCGCGGTGTCAGACACCCACGCCGAAGTCGGCACGACACGAACCTGCCGCAGTACCAGCAAAAGTCTACGGCCGAGTGGATATTGCCTTCCTCAGGGGCAACGATAGGGGGGGATAGGCATAGGGGGGGTGCATCGACCCCCAATCGCCCATTGATCGCCGATAGGGGCCCGATAACCCCAACCTGCCCAGGAAAGTCTGGATTCGCTATCGGAGGCCAATCGCCGACCTATCGGCGATGCATCGCCGATTCCAGGTCGACGCATCCCCTCCTTTGCCAGTGCCCCACGATCGTTGCCCCTCACTTCCTCGCCCCTGGCGGCCCCCTTCAAAGGGTGGAGGCGTCCTGCGTCGCATCCGCGGGGGGACTGGTTGATGGGGTCTCGCTCCGCGACTGGGAAGTCTCGCTCCGCGATGGACGTGGCGCCTCGTTGCGCGACTGGGAGGGCGCGCGCCGGGGGGCGGGAGTCAGGCGGGGAAGCCGCGTCGCATAGAGGGGATCTCGCTCCGCGATGTGTGGCGCCTGGAGTCGGGGAAGCGTAAGATTCGAGTAAGCCAGAATTCGGGCTTGCCGACGTTTTTTTGACGAGCGCGTCCTGGATTTTGACGGTCCGTTTTCGTGGGATGTTTGAAGCGGAGTTCGCATCAAATGTCAGATTGGGTCCCACCATTTTCATGTTGGTCCCGTCAGGCCGAACCGAGTCCCCCGTACCCGAGTCTTACATCTCCCCGATCGAGGTGCTGGAGGACGTAGTGCACCACGCAAGGCGCTCGATCAAACCCTGTGGGATCCTTCGGAAAATCGCTTGGATCGCTGAGGAATTTGATCCCGCAGGAAATGCGGAGGACTGCTTCTAGGAGCAGGATTCTGAACGAAGTCCTTCGGGTTGCGGAGGGGATCCTCCGACGTGCATCGGCCTTCTCACCACAGCAGCAGCAACAGACGAGAAGCAAACTTGGCGGACCATGGGAAGCATCCACATTCTCGGGCACGGGGGAAGGAGGCGGGAGGAGGAGGGGGAGGAGGAGGAGGAGGAGGAGGAGGAGGAGGAGGAGGAGGATGAGGAGGAGGAGGGGGAGGGGGAGAAGGGGGAGGAGGAGAGGAAGAGGAGGAGGAGGAGGCGGAGGAGGAGGAGGAGACGGAGGAGTCGGCGGAGGCGGAGGAGGCGGAGGAGGAGGCTGAGGAGGAGGAGGAGGAGGAGGAGGAGTTGTTGACCTGCTGCTGCTTATGCTCCTGCTTCCCCATCCCCCGCCGTCTCTCATTCCTAATATGTGGAGGCATCGACTCTCTCGACTGAGGACCGACCGACCGACCGAGGAGGAGTTGGAGGAGGAGGAGGCGGAGGAGGAGGAGGAAGAGGAGGAGGAGGACGAGGAGGAAGAGGAAGAGGAGGGAGAAGAGGATGAGGACGAGGAGGAGGAGGAAGAGGAGGTGGAATAAGAAAGATACTACTACTCATACGTGGAAGAGGAATATCAAAACTAATAATACTGAGACTGATGCTAATAATAATCATACTAAGAGCCAGGCTACACAACATCACAATAGTAAACATACGCATGCTACGAACAATAATCGGACACATAATAATACTCGCATTAGTATTCATAATCGCAGTGATATTCAGTATCGGACTACGAATACGACGAATAATCACACTAGGAATAATGATATCAACATGTGTGATCATGCTACTAAAAATAGCAATGCGAAAACTGACTATGATTAGAAATAAGAGTGCGACGAATAATACACCATATTCAAATAATAACAATACTATTACTATTGAATAGTAACGCTACGAAGCGCAATGCTATGACTTCGAAGCATGATAATACTACGAAGCAGAAAATAGTAGTAGCACTACGAATGGTAGTACACATACTAAGAAGACTGGCGATACTACGTAGACGACGACTCGTACCAACAAAATCGCTACGAATAATATGGTTATTACTAAGGAATGAATACTGCTATTCAGACGAATAAGAAACCAACTCACACGAATACTAACACTACGCATCGGACTACACTACGAATGGTATGAATAAGAATAACCATATTACTACGAAAAATACGAGCCCTAATCAACATACGTATGATCATAATAAGAATACG